ATATATATATATATATATATATATATATGGAATGATAAAGAGAAAGAATGAAACAAAAATAAAAATTATATGTCAGAATAAGGACATTTAATGTCCAATATTCACATAAATAATACATAATAATATGAAATATCGATGCAATCTTTATTCTATATTTATTTATTTATCAATAAAAAAGAAATTAATGTTTTTTCTAATAAAAAAATGAATATGTTGTTACGTTTTTCTTTGTTTTTGACAATACTAAAGTGGATATTTATTATAACAAATATTCAAAATATTGTACACGACAATATACTTACATATTTTAAAAGATGAAGAAAAATTTTTAATGCCACTTCATTAATTATGAACAATGAAATATAAACATTAAACGAAATTTGAACTGCATGGAAATCTAACCTCAAAAAAATTTAATATTTCACTCAAAATATTTATACGTTTATATATCTTATTCACATTGTATATCGTTGTAATTAAAAAATATGATTTTTAATATAAACACTATACAAATATAAATATATTGATATAAAGATTAAAGCAATGAAACAACACACAAAAACAATACAGTCGATAGTATAGTAATATAAACGATCAACTAACGCTATCTGAAGGTAGAACATTTAAACATTGATGATGACTTCAATTTATTTACTTTTGTTTTTTATAATAAAAATGAGGTCATTGCATCATGATAAAGTACAGGATAAACATTTATATTTAATTTTATAAATTACATTCTAAAATATCAAAATGTTTGGTATATTCTTTATAATTTAGAACAGTAAGTGCAAAAATTGTATTCAGTCATAAAGTACAAATAAGAAGAGTGAGAGAAATATAAAAATATTGATGTCAATGCCATTTCCAGAATATTGAAATAGATAAAGAAAAAATATCAAATAATGGCTAATAGAGATAAAATAAAAAGTTATCTTTAGGGCATCTTTTAAATATCAAAGATATCTCTTTAAACAATCATCTTTTTTACTTAGAAATTCTTATTAATTCTTATTCTATTTTAACCTGTTTTTTACATATTATAATAAATATTATAATCAAGTATAAAATGTAACACTTCATATTCGTCTATTAAATATTTTATAACAAAATATTTGTATTTTTATTTAATTTTATTGAAATTTAATTTCATTTTCAATCGTTATTAATAAATTTTATCTTACATAATCTTATTACCAATCTATGAACTAAATCGATAATATTGAAAATGATATTAAATGATATACTAGTGACATAACAATAAATGCATCGAATGTTAAGTCTATTTTGTGTCTTATCTGTGGTTATATATCCAAATATGTTACGTATTGCGCATGCGATGAGTGATCGATTGTCTTTGCGTTAAGATGTTATGTGATATCTGATATTTCGAAAATGTTTCTGTCAAAAAAATCTAAAAGTTTCGGTGTGCTAACCTTTCTTTTCTGTAAATTTTATGATATTAATTATTCAATTCAATATAAATTTTTATTTCTAATGTCAAATAACGAAATCAAAAAAAGAATGGTGGATTGCATGTTAAATATACCAATAAAGTGTTTTATAAGTTTAGCCTGTTAAAAGTATCAGACTCGTTTGCGATGACGTAAAATATAATCTAGAATATAACAGGATGAATAAATCGAGAGTAGGGTCAGAATATATTCCGTTAGTGGGAGACGACATGTTGCAAACGCGATACGTTTTACATTTTGCTAAATTAGCATGGTTTACAGTATCTTTACCTTTTTTCGCATTTTTATTTTGTATCACTTGGTCTGTTGTATATAATTTTGAGCATTCGACTTCTACACATTGTAAAGTAAGTATTTTTTTCTATTAATGTTTAATATATACATATATGCATATATATATTATAAATAATATTTTATGCTAGGTTTATAATTTTTTACCATCTGTATCTGCTGCGATTGGACATTACAGGCCACAAAGAGATGTTTGGAAAATTGCAATAGCTATGCAAGCAGTGGTAAGAATTTTAGTATTAATAATGTATCGCCGTTATTATAAAGAGCATATCTATAAATGGGCACAAAATATTTGTAATGTTGCAACTGTTATCTATGCTATTGAAAACATATCACTTATATCATTAAGTTTTTGGACATCAAATGAGAATTATGGTATGTATATAAGATAATCATTATAATATGTGATTTTGAAATACAAAATAATTTAGTATTTAATTTCTCTTCATTTCAGTTTTTCATAAAGTATCTTTTATAACATTTTTAATAACATCTGTCATTCATATGCAGATAGCATATTATATAATGAGAAACTGTCGTAATATTACTAAAGAATCTTCTGAAGCTATCTCTCTAAAATGGAAGAGAAGATCTATGATGTTGAATTTATTGTGTATATTATTTGCAGGCTACTTTTTTTAC